CTGTTATCTCTCTTTAGTAGTTAGTTGCTCAGGATGCTCTGATCGAGGGACCCTGTGCTGTCACATCGATCCGGTCAGTGTAACTTAGTTTAAAGACATTTGAACTGTCAGAAAACACAATGGAATACTTTGAGAATATGATATCTTAAAGTAACAGAGAAGAAGAACACTAGTGTTTAAAGGGAATGGGCTCTGGCTGTATTTAGAGACTGCTTGATGGGAAACACAATTTAAACAGACTTGGACAGTTACTGAAAACCTGGATCAGTGCTGCCGTCATTTTAAGTTACGATGCTGCAGTTCAGACGCTGAGACTAGAACAGACGGAGCCCTCCACTAACATGTCTCACGCTATCACAAACATCCCATCAGAAAACTCAACGCTCCATCAAACAGTTTCAGATACAAAGTCCAGCGAACATGAGACTCCACTGGAGCGTCTCTGACTGCAGTATCAGTAAAGAGACGAAGGCCCTAAACACGCAGTGACTGTGAAGAGACCACAAAGAGGTTATATCACATCTGTTACTCTTCTATGTTGAACTTTTTTCTTTTTTAAACATGTCAGTCACGTTGATCAGAGCTGTTGGACCGGATCAGACACTGCCTGCATTTTTCACTGCTGATGATATCTCAGATTACAATCAAACTGCTGCCAAAAGCTGCTGGCACCATTACAAGGAAGTCTTTCTAAAACCATTCTTCTTTAACTCCGAGGGACATTCTCCACAATACTGTAGAATAGATTTATAGCATCAGCATCAGGAAACATTAGTCCTGTCCAGTTAAACGGTGATGCAGAACAAGTGATCCTGATGATCAAACTTCTACAGATTCCTCTGGGAGGATTCTCACCTGATGAACTGAGTTTTAGGAAACACAAATACCTTCTCAGTTTAAGTTACTTCTTGGTTGGAATCATCCCCAAATATAATCTCAAATAAAAAGCATCTCTATCTTATTATCACCGGTTGAATTCCCTTCAGGTCAATTGAGACGGCTTCACATGAGGAGGAAACTCTTCGTCAGTTAGAAACCCAGTCAGTGAGAGGTGGTGTAGTTCTAGCAGCTGTCCACTAGGTGGTGCTAACGGACCCTCTAATGAAATAAAGCTCAGCACTAACACATGATGAAGCAGCGTGGATCACGTGCATGTGTGCCTGATCGGACACATTATATTACATTATATTACATTATATTACATTTAGCCGGTGCTTTTATCTAAAGTGACAAAAAAATGTACAATAAATCAAACAAGCTATAAAGATACAAACTCCTGCAGGTACATTCACTTCAAACAACTTTTTGAAAGTACTAAATACAGAATGAGAAGTTCATTGATGTTTTGGCCAAGGTGCACGTTGTTAATAAATGTAAATATTGTTGATATGATCAGTTAAATTCTCAAAGAGCATCAAATGGCAACACAGATTGGGACTGATGTCGATGGGACTCAATTTCAAAGGAAACCAACATCAAGAATCTGCTTTGGACTCAGCCGACTGTGACTCCAGAAACAAACAGGTATGTTCTACATGATGCCTGCATGAGAGGGGAACACTGTCTTTGCTGCACGGCTAAGTACTGGATTCTGATTGGTCTGTTATTTCTGACTTGGACAGGTACACAAAACCTGGATCAGTGCTGCCGTCATTTGAAGTCACGTTGCAGTTCAGACACTGAGACTAGAACAGAACGACGGACCCCTACATGTACACATCTCATGCTGTCACAAACATCCCATCAGCAAAGTCAACGCTCCATCAAACTGCTTCAAATACAAAGTCCAGCGAACATGAGACTCCACTGGAGCGTCTCTGACTGCAGTATCATTACAGACATGAAGGCCCTTTACACACATCACGTCTGCTATGTTTCAATGTTAAAACATTACAAAACATGTCAGTCATGTTGATCTGAGGTTTAGACAGCATCAGACACTCCCTGATTTTTCACTGAAGATGATATCTCAGATTACAATCAATCTGCTGCCAAGAACTGCTGTCGCCATTACAAGGAAGTCTTTCTAAAATCATTCGTCTTTAATTCTGAGACTAATTCTCTACGATACTTTAAAATAGATTTATAGAATCAGCACCAAAAAACACATTTGTTCTGATCAGTTAAACAGTGATACAGCACGATGTGATCGGAGTGATCCTGATGATCAAACATCTACAGATTACGTTTAATTAGGTCAAGTAACTTAGTGGTTGTTTTTATCCCCACATGTATAATAATATACCCAACAAGCTTACAAACTGAAAAGTGTCTAAATCATGTTCTCACCTTCTGAATTCCCTTCAGGTTAATGTAGACGCCTGCCTGTGTGGAGGAGACTCTGCTCATCTCTTCCTCTTCAGTCCTGTGTCTGCCTGCATCTGATCTGAGGACGCCGTCACTCCCTCATAACTTCAGAGCATAAAAACACATCAGAGTCACGTGAGAACAGGTCCAACGGGAAGAAGAGCCAGTCAAGGTGAGAGGTGATGGAGGGGATGCAGTTCTATAGCTCTCCACTAGATGGTGGTGACTGACACAACACCTTTCAGATCGGCAGGTACAAACACATCGGAGGGACATGAAACCAGCGAAGCCACAAACCTGGAGTCTGAAGAAGCTCAGGCTGCTAGGGTGATGTTCTTTTTCCACTTCTTCAAACACGCGTTGGCTTGCAAACACATTTGTATTTAATGGCAAATGTATTCCTCTGCCCGTGTGAAAACTGTGTATGATAGCTTTAAAAGCTTTTCATGTGAAATATCCATACATGTGTTATGTTTAGGCAACCATACTACTGGCATAGGTTCGGTAACTGCCTGGTTATTTTTATCCCCAGATGTTTAATCCCCAAAAACCTCTATCAAATATTACATGTTATTCTGTTACAATACCGCACTTTTTTTGTATTTCACCCACATATTCCAAAAATGGTTTTAGGGGATTTATGGTGGCAGAGATACATTAACGTCTGTGTTTTTAAATCCTTAAATTATGACGGAAGTTAAAAGGAGAGACTTGATAATTAAAATGTTGAGCATTTTGTTCTGTATTCAATTTTCTACGTAAGGACACTCCTTTGTTTTCAGAGTAATTGAGGAATGCCATTTGGGTAACAGATGTATTTGAACCGTGAACACTCAATGTCTGCATGTTATATTAGGATTTGAAAAATAATAGTCCCTCAGTCACATTGATCCGTTTTTAAGACCTGTTCTGACACTTCCTTCATGTTTCACAGATGACAGGAAATGAAGATCACAGTCTAAGTGCTGCACATTCTGCTGTTCTGTCAACACTAGCTGACGACCTGGATCACCTGAAGTCAAACCAAGAGCCAGACAAGACAATTATTTAATGTTATGTTTGAATATGCAAATGAGGCTTTATGATATTCTAACTTTTGGTGACTTTAGGAAAAATCTACAAACACAAAGATAGAAAAGTATAAATAAAATAAAAAGTAAATGTCTTTGGATGTTTTCTTTCCACTTGTCTGAAATAAGAGATCACAATTCGAAGTCATTTAGAGCCATCTAGTGGGCAGCTATTGGAACTACATCACCACGAACACTGACTGGGTTTCTGACACTGGTTACACAGGTTTTCACGTGGCTCTGTTTGTGTTGATACTCTAAAGTAGTTGGTTGGGTACATGTACCGCAGTGATGTTAACTATGCCTGTGACGATAGGTCAAATTAAAGATCTGAATCTCAAACCCTCCCGAGAGAAAAGGGATGCACCGTTGGCCTCTTTCGACGACAGAGATTGCATGCATGCATAGGCGTTCCTCGGGGAGTGCCAGAGGAGTTTATAGCTAGACATCAGATATTGGCGGGACTCTAACCACTCTTCCTTTGGGTAACTATTAATACAAATGTTGAGATGATGAATTATATTTATTATAATCAGCAACGTTTCGTTAATTACACTCATGATGCTATTAAAGGATCAGCTGAACAGTTCGATGCTACCTCCCACAGAACAGAATGGCTCCAGAGATGCTCCTGGCTGAGGAAGGAGGTGTTTGTGATCTGTTCGTGATGCTGAACATTTATCCCTAACAACACTGTTAGATGGATCTGTCACTAAAGCTTCAGCTGAGCTTCGGTCACTCAGAGTTAGCTGAACACTAGACCTTCACTTACAGGCTGGTTGATGGCTTGGTCAATGGGAAGCGGTGATTTGAGCTATTCTCACCTCTCTAATCACTGTCATAGGACTTCTGGCTCTGAGTGGCTGTTGCTTTATTCCCTGTGTTAAAGGACTTGTTATGAAAGCTATTGACAAGTCAGTATCAAACACTTTGTTAGCTTATCAACCCCTGAAGACTGAAGCTGACATGTTGAAGTCTCCTCCTCATCCAGTTCTGACTTTGATGATGAAACAAGTGCGTACATATCTTTTGTTTTATTTCCTTCAGATTAGCTTGCTCTTCCCAGAGACTGCAATATGGCATATGTGTTTCTTCTATCAGACACTGAGATGTATTCAATTGAATCCTTGTGAATTTTGAATGCCGATGATACAATGTATAATACTTCTATATTTGTGATCAATCTGTAATATGATCATAAGTGTAGAGTGTAATAGAACATGTCATCATGCTGAGGGAGCATTTAAAGTTCACCATCTGTTCTTCTTGAACAAGCTATTTCTCACAACAGCTAGCAGTGAAATGTCCTAACCTGAATGAGTCGTAAATGGTGTTAGAGCTATTTGTTGTTGCTAATGTATTTGCTAGCAGGTGTGTTTAAAATAATCCTATATGTTTCTAATCAGACAGATCTCATGATCAACACGGCTGCTTCATCACATCTCAATGTCGCTGCTGGCTGTGCTTCATTAGATTCTCAGTTAGCCCCATCTAGTGGACAGCTAGTAGAACTGCATCACCTCTCACTGGTTTCTTGCTCTTGTTGGACCTGTTCTCCTCTGATATATGTTTTGATACTCTGAAGTTATGAGGGAGTGACGGCGTCCTCAGATCAGATGCAGGCAGACACAGGACTGAAGAGGAAGACATGAGCAGAGTCTCCTCCACACACGCAGGCGTCTACATTGACCTGAAGGGAATTCAACAGGTGAGAACATGATTTTCAAAATGTGGGATTAGACATTTGGGGATAAAAATAACCAAGTAGTGACCTGAGCTAACCACAGAGATGTGTTCACTACAACTCAGTTCATTGATGAGAATCCAGAGGAATCTGTAGATGTTCGATCATCAGGATCACTTTGATCACATTGTTCTGTATCACTGTTTAAATGGACAGGACTGATGTTTCTTGAAGCTGATTCTATATGTCTATAAAGTATTGTGGAACATTTCCCTCGGAGTTAAAGAATGATTTTAGAAAGACTTCCTTGTAATGGTGCCAGCTGTTGGCAGCAGTCTGATTGTAACCTGAGATCATCAGTGCTGTGAGGGAGTGTCACACCCGGATCAACGTGACTGAGGTGCTTTGTTTATTTTTAATCTTTGAAGAGTAAACAAACCAGGAATGATGTGAATCCTCTTTGTGGTCTCTTCACAGTCACTGCGTGTTTAGGGCCTTTGTCTCTTTACTGATACTGCAGTCAGAGACGCTCCAGTGGAGTCTCATGTTCGCTGGACTTTGTATTTGAAACTGTTTGATGGAGCGTTGAGTTTTCTGATGGGATGTTTGTGATAGCGTGAGATACGTTAGTGGAGGGCTCCTTCTGTTCTAGTCTCAGCGTCTGAACTGCAGCATCGTAACTTAAAATGACGGCAGCACTGATCCAGGTTTTCAGTAACTGTCCAAGTCTGTTTAAATTGTGTTTCCCATCAACCAGTCTCTAAATACAGCCAGAGCCCATTCCCTTCAAACACTAGTGTTCTTCTTCTCTGTTACTTTAAGATATCATATTCTCAAAGTATTCCATTGTGTTTTCTGACAGTTCAAATGTCTTTAAACTAAGTTACACTGACCGGATCGATGTGACAGCATAGGGTCCCTCGATCAGAGCATCCTGAGCAACTAACTACTAAACAGAGATAACAGACCCACCAATCAGAATCCAGGATTTAACGTGGCCATTAAAAAAGGCCAGTTCTATCCTCTGACGGTTTGATCAGAACGTACTTGATAGTTTGCTGTTCTCACTGCAATGTGTGTGCGACACGACTATTAGGCCAAGACGCTGCAGGCGGCTCTGTTGTTGTTTCTGATGTTGGTTTCCAGGGGAATTCCACGGTGATCAGTCCTGTTGTTTATTATCATTTGATGTCTCGTGCTTTTGACAGTTAGACTGATAATGTTTCAGCGTGAATATCACAAGATGTAGGTCAAAAATCGTCATTGTGTCAAAAATGTTCACTTAAACTTCATCCAAAATTAATTTGTCCATAAATAAATACTGTGCCAATCAAAATAACATCATAACAACGCATTTTTTTTTGCATCACTCAAAAAGGTTTATCTTATTTGAAGCTAATGAACTTGTAAGGCCTAAAAAACATTTGTTTTAACAAAGCCTTTCGCTAGAACTTTAACCATCCTCTTGTTTCCCTGTCTACTTAATGTTTTACTCTGTAGCACTTTGAGTTGAAAAGTGCGATTATAAATAACATTGATTTATTGTATTATTGGTGTAGGATCCATAGTTACAATTGTCTTGACTTTAACCTGGAAAACAACATGATAAAAGAACAGATCTGTCTTCAGGCGTCCGCAGAGAGGAAGGAGATCAGTCAATACTGTACGTCTGTGGGAACCTCTTCCTCACAGCTACACTAGGATGCTAATGAGATCACATCAACTGTCAGAGTGAACATTTGTAAATTAGTGCTGAGCTTTATTTCATTGGATGATCAGTTACCACCATCTAGTGGACAGCTAGTAGAACTACACCCTCTCTCAAACTGACTGGTTTCTTGTGACTCATGTGTTTTGATGCTCTGAAGTTATGAGGGAGTGACGGCGTCCTCAGATCAGATGCAGGCAGACACAGGACTGATGAGGAAGAGATGAGCAGAGATACATGAAGCATGAAGGTGGTTCAATTGACCTGAAGGGAATTCAGAAGGTGAGAATATGATTTAAATGCTTTTTGGAAATCTGGGATTATACATTTGTGGATAATTATAATCCAGACGTCACCCTGCCTTACCATGGAGCGTTGTTTCCTGAAACTATTGTGCATTGTGGAGAATGTTTTTTAAGAACAACTTCCTTGTAAAGGTGACAGTTTCTGGCAGCAGTTTGATTGTAATCTGAGTAAGCATCCTTAGTGCTGGGAGGAAATGTAAGAACCGGACTGACGGCTCGGATCAACGGGACTGAGGTGTTTTAATTTCTTTATCTCTGAAGCGTACACACACCAGGCAGGTTATAAAGCATCCTTTGAGGTCTCTCCACAGTCACTGTGTGTAGAGGGCCTTCATGTCTTCAATGATACTGCAGTCAGAGACGCTCCAGTGGAGTCTCATGTCAGCTGGACTTTGTTTCTGAAATCCTCTCCTATCCAAGTCAGTTCATTGTGAGTGTACTCCAACACATTGTGACAACCAACCTATCACCTATGTGCTCAACATACTGTTTTCTGGGTGATTGTGGGGGCTGTGCAGCACGGGTTGGGGTCCCTGCATCCTGTCTAGGACTCCAGAATACCCTGCATCCTGTCCAGGACTCCAGAATACCAGGATGTTCAACTGCAGCTGGTTGCATTTTGTAGTTTGTAAACCAGCATGCTTTCCTGGCTATTCTGACCCACAATCCTTTGCAGTGGATACAAAGTGGGTCCCAATGTAATGCCTATTGCATGCAAGAGAACACACCTTGTAACTGCAGTGGCAGAATTTATGAAGAGGAAAAAGAAGAAGTACATCATTTCCTAACCCTAACCCTAACCCTAACCTCCACAGCAGATATGCCGCTCGTCCGTTGACTTCTCTCAGTCTTGATATTGCTGATGAACACACTTCATTGTAAATCTCCATAGATAAATACATTGTGTTTGATTTAGTATGAGCTCACTCAGACTCCCTTCTTGTTCATTCCCAGATCCAGTGTGTGACAGAGAGGAAGGAGCAGTAACGAGCATGTTGTTGTGTTTGTGTTTAGGTTCGACACCACAACAGATCCTCCAGGAATCTCCAGAGGACGTTTGAGCCTGCCAACCTGCAAGATGGAAACCACTGATCCAAAGTTATTATTCATCTTATCAGGATTAACATGTTCAAAAGTCAGCATCATGTTCAGCAGAGTGTCAGTGCACCTTTGCATTCATCATGTTTTTGATTCTATCAGGATCCACCGTGAGAGACCAGACCCTCCTGGACCAGACCCTCCTGGACCTGGACCTGGACCTGGACCCAGCTGTGTGTCCATGAAGAGTGACACGTCTATTACATCTGAAGATGAAGAGCTATTTGATCAATGGTAAGAATTTAGAGCATAACTAATTGTTGTTGTGCGCCATTAAATGTTTGAAACTCTCTAACTATTTAATTATTAATGTATTATTTATTTATATTGTAGTCTGTATCTGTGTATTATTTATTATTTATACATATTTCCTATCTATTATTATATAAATCCTCCTCATCTGGACTCTTTTATGAATTTTAATCGGTTTTGTTGATTATTATTGGTATTACTACCATTTTATCTATTGTTATTTATATTCTACATGTCATAGTTCATTCGATCTTTGCACGGTTTATTGCATGTTTTCTTATTTTATTAGGTTCCAAATGAGGAGGTTATATCTTTTATTCTTTTTTATATATTATTAATCCCCCGTTTCCTATTTAAACATTGTTTGTATCGTTTTATTTTATATTTTAGTTATTACTTTCCATTTTATTGTAAATGGATGTTGGAGCCTCCCGCAGGGAAACACCCTGAAATCAGCCCTTAATAAAGTATTTTTAAACATCATCCGAGGCGTGCCCCATGTCTCACCTGCACCCCCCCTCTAGACCTCGGCCTGGGGTTTAAACACTTTTTTATTTTTTATGAACAAACAGCCAGACAGACAGCACAATAGCAGTTGGCAAACAAGTTAGGATGACAACAGTGTGATTTGAGTCCGATAAAAAACAAAGACAAAACAACAAATAAATAGAACCAAACAAAAAATGGACTGCGACAAGACAAAAATCATCAACAAAAAACAAAATCTAAATCTAAAGGCTCTGAGTCTAAGTCCATTATTAATAACATAATGCAAAAGTAGAGATCAAATTATGTGTATAAATGGAACAAAAATACCAAATATATCAAATAAAATAAAAACACAGCACTTGTTGGTCAGTCAGCCGCCCGCTAATCACAGTTTAACACCGCAGGTCCATCACCCTATTGTGCAGACACATCCGGCATGTCCAGCTCCCGTATATACTTGTAGAAGGGGTTCCACATCTTGTGGAGTTTCCCCAAGGAGCCCCTCAGTATGCACCTTATTTTCTCGAGTTTGGCTGAATTTAGGACTTCTTTTAACCACGAGGTGTGTGAAGGGGATGTTGGAGACTTCCACATGAGCAATATCAGGCGTCTGGCTAGTAAGGTAACAGAGGCTATGAAGGCTGTCTCCAGAGAAGAGAGTGGCCATGTGGGTGGGGTCACACCAAACAGTGCGGTCATGTGGGTGGGGTCACACCAAACAGTGCGGTCATGTGGGTGGGGTCACACCAAACAGTGCGGTCATGTGGGTGGGGTCACACCAAACAGTGCGGTCATGTGGGTGGGGTTACACCAAAAAGTGCGGTCATGTGGGTGCAGGGGCGGCGCCAGGGGGGAGCTAGGGGGTGCTGAAGCACCCCCCAGGATTGCCAAAGCACCCCCATAGCACCTAAGAAATGTGTTTTTTTTTAAAATAATAATAATAATTTTTATTAAATTAGAAATATTATTGATTACATCAATGCAAATGTGAAACAAACACATTTTTGACCAAAAACATAAAGCCAACACAGGTGATATGATTAGGCCAATGGCCAGCACCGATTCGATTTTTGACCTACCCATAGGCTAAATAACTTTGTGACACTTGAGTGACTTCCTGTTAGCTAGAGCGCCAACTTATTTGCTAACAGCAAAGTGAAAAATTGATAGTTTTTTAGTCCTTAAACGACCACGTGTGGACACTCAAAACCACCTGAAAGCGAGAGGGATTCTGCACATAATAGCATAGCCTCGTGAGTACAAGTAGCCTAGCTTACTTCTGGGTCTCTGTGTTTCATTCAAGCTCTGCTCTGTGTGTGTGTGGCGTTATATTTGTGCTTCTATCCTGAGCACGCAATGAAACATGTTGAGCATAGAAAATGCTATTGAGCGCGCACTTGAACATTTTTGAGCAGAGAAATATATTTTCTCTCATAAAACTCCTGCTCCGTGCGCAAGCAGACCGCTGCACGCGCTCTCTCTCCCCCGCTCGCTCGACCTCTCCAGCCTGTGCGCGCTCAGCTTTGCCTGCGCTCGCTCAAGTTGTCACAGCGTTACAAATGTGCCACAAAACCAACCAATCGGAGAACTCAAGAAGGTCAATTCTGATTGGCTGGTCGTCTCCAATCATATCTTCTATCTGAGATGAGAGAGGGATTTTCGGTTGCCATCAGGCTGTTGACGTTCTTATTACACATCACATTACAAAAAATTTAAGAAATCTAGACCGCAAAAAAATTAAACAAGCGAGTGCCTGTTTTTCCTGGCCATGGTCAGGGTCCTTGAACACAACACGGTTTTGTGGCACATTTGTAACGCTGTGACAACTTGAGCGAGCGCAGGCAAAGCTGAGCGCTGCACAGGCTGGAGAGGTCGAGCGAGCGGGGGAGAGAGAGCGCGTGCAGCGGTCTGCTTGCGCACGGAGCAGGAGTTTTATGAGAGAACATATATTTCTCTGTGCTCAAAAATGTTCAAGTGCGCGCTCAATCGCATTTTCTATGCTCAACATGTTTCATTGCGTGCTCAGGATAGAGGCACAAATATAACGCCATATGGCACGAGCCATTTTGTGTGCGTGCGCGAGCGAGAGAGAGAGAGCTCGCGCACCAGTGGGTATCTACTGGAGATCGTTGTGGTTAGCATCTGGTGCTAGCTAGCCAAACTAACGGATATAAGGAGCTTTTTCAACAACAAGGTGGAGGGAGAACTCTCTCCTGTCAGACTGAGAGTCTCAGGTAACCTCAGCTCAGGTGAAGTAAAGGACTCTCAGTGTTTAGATAGTTATCTTTAGTCTAGTTATCTCAGTGGGTCTCAAACGGTTTGTTTTAAAAGGGGAGTGATTTGTAAAATATCTATAAAGAAATAGAAAATCTGTTTACAGTTCTGTTTCGTATGGGTGTTGAGAGATGTATCCATAGATCTCTTCACGTTGCTCTCAAAGTGCAGCAGATTGATGCTTTTAACTTCAATATTTAAACAAATCTTCCCGGGGGAGCTTGCCCCCGGACCCCATTAGAGGAGGTGAGGACCCTCCTAGAGGAGGTGAGGTCCACTCCCCACTTGTAAAAAAAGCACTTTAGCCCTGCTTACACCTATATGCCGTGAGCTGATTATCGAGCCTTCATTGTAACAGTCGTGGGTGCACTGTGTGTGTGTGTGTGGGGAGTGTTGCAGTAGAAAATTCAACTGTAGCGCTGGTAATGTTTGAGCACCCTCTATGAAACGTCAAGCTACCCCACAGCACCCCCTAGAGTTAATCTCTGGCACCGCCACTGTGTGGGTGGAGTTACACCAAACAGTGCGGTCATGTGGGTGGGGTTACACCAAACAGTGCGGTCATGTGGGTGGGGTTACACTAAACAGTGCGGTCATGTGGGTGGGGTCACACCAAGCAGTGCGGTCATGGCATTAGGAGCGATCGGTTTTCCAGTAATTTCTGACAGTGATCTAAAGATGTCAGTCCAATAAGAGTGTAAGACCGGACAAGACCAGAACATGTGTGCGTGACTCGCCGGTGCTTGGCTACATCTGTCACAAGTTGGGTCCACTTCCTTATATATTTTAGAGAGCCTGAGCTTAGTGAAGTGTGTGCGATGTACTACTTTGCACTGAATCAGTCCATGTCTAGCACAAATAGAAGATTTGTGTACATTAGCAAGGGCTTTTTCCCAAAGTTCTTCTGAAATCTCCTCCCCAAGATCTGTTTCCCAAAGAGATTTAATGGAGTTCAGGGTAACCAAACGAAGAGAGTAAATCTGAGCGTAAATACACGTCATCATTCCCTTCAGAGTAGGTGACCGCCTAAGGAGTGTGTCTAGCGGCGAATCAGCTGGGTGATTAGGAAACTGAGGAAATCTATTATTAACAAAACTGCGAATCTGTAGATACCTGAAGAAATGTTGCCTAGGTAGTGCCAATTTATCAGATAGCTGTTGGAAAGAGGCAAATGTGTTGTGAATATAAAGGTCTTTGAATGTTTTAACGCCTTGGTTAAACCAAATAGTAAATGCGCCATCTACTAAGGATGGAGGAAAAACATGGTTTGCAGTTACAGAGGCTAGTGTAGAGTATGTTTGGAGATCAAAGAAACGTCTGAACTGATTCCAAATGTTCAAGGTTGCTTTGACAATTACATTTTTAGTGTAAGCAGAGGAGGGGGTCTTAATGAGAGAGTGAGCCAATGCTGAGAGAGATACTGGACTACAGGAAGCAGCCTCCATTTCAAGCCAAACAGAGAGTGCTGTGAGTCAGACTGCAGCCAGGCCTGTATTATTCTCAGATTTGTAGCCCAATAATAGAACCTCAAATTCGGCAGAGCAAGTCCACCCCGCGCCTTTGGTCTCGTTAAAAATGGCTTGCGTATCCTTGGGATTTTCTTGTTCCAAAGAAAGTTAGAAATAATAGTGTCAGTTTTACGAAAAAAAGTTTGAGTGAGGAAAATGGGCACACATTGAAATAAATATAGACATTTGGGGAGTATATTCATCTTGATAGAGTTAATTCGGGCAACCAGAGACAGATTTAACACTGACCAGCGGTCGAAGTCTTCCTGTACGCGGGACAAAAGGGGGGCAAAATTAGCTTTATAAAGATCTTTAAATGTATCGGTCACCTGGATCCCGAGGTAAGTGAAGCTGTGTAGTGCAATTTTAAATGGTAGACTATGTAGAGGGAACTCATGCGCCGCTCTATTTAAAGGGAGCAATTCGCTTTTACTTAAATTGAGTTTATAACCGGATACAGCACCAAATGAGCTAAGGATAGAGAGAGCTGCAGGGACAGACACAGATAAATTAGAGACATAAAGAAGAAGGTCATCCGCGTAAAGAGAAGCTTTACCTCTAAAATACCTCTAATGCGGGGGTCACAGCGAAGAGCGATGGAGAGGGGTACAATAGCTTCACCCATGAGGTAAAGTTCTTTCCAAAGCCAAATTTCTCCAAGGTATGAAAAAGATACCTCCACTCCACACGATCAAAGGCCTTTTCTGCATCT